TAACTCTAATCTAGAGAAGAGTGGGAGAAAGTGGAATTGTAGATTGGTAGGGTTGGAAGGGGCCTCAGAGATCACATAGTCCAGTGCTTCTCAACTTTTTTTGTACCAGGACCTATTTGTCAACATGGATGGCCAGTCCTGACCCATTCCCCCTTCACTCCCAACCAACTGCCCCCAGACCCCAGCACCCCAATGTGTGGGGCAGGGGGACCCCAAACAGCTCCTTGCAGGCTGGAGCTCTGCCAGCTTCCAAAGGAAAAGCCATGGTTTTTCTCCTTTAAAAGAGAATCCATTTTTAAAGTTTGTCGATCCATTTTTTAAATTTGTTCACGACAGTTTCATATACTCCTGGGACTCACTTTTGGGTTACGACCCATGGGTTGAGAAACACTGATCTAGTCCAACCCACTGCACAGCTGCAAATGTGCTACTCCTAAACTATGTCAGATACCTATGCATTCCTTTCTTGAAAGGATCCAATGAAGTAGATTCTACAACTTCCCTTAGCAGATTGTTACACTGTGTTGACAGTTGTGTAAGTAAGTTGATGTCTATATGTACTACAATATTTTTGCAACATAATTATTACATACACACAACTTGATCTTGAACTGTTTGTCCCTGACACTTCCTTCATAAAAACTAAAAGGTGATGGTTTAACTTTCAATTATAATTGAAAGTTGCGAAGGTGCTTGGGGTGGCAGCCTCAAGAAGTGAGAAAATGCTACAGATATTCTTCTGAATGTGCTAACTAGTTAGTTTCATTTGCACCACTTTCTGCACAGGTGGGCCTCGGAGAAACATTATTAGAGGCTGAAAGTATTGAAGACCAAGAATCCCCAGTTAATTGCTTTAGGAAATTATTTGGTAAGTAAATCCTCTTTTTATTATAAGGCTGTATAGTAAAGCTTAGTACCATCTGCTAAGCAAAACTTAGTACCATCTGCTAAGAACTATTCAGCCCAAGTTGGTATTAATTAAATGTTGTGTGTTGAAGGAGTTGGCAATCCTATCAATAGACATGCTGTGAAGGTCTTTCATTTGATCTATTACCTTTATGCCAAAAGAGATTTAGATGGTGTTTATATAACTTCTGTTTGTAAAAATGGTAATTCCTTCAATTCTTCTGTACTCTAAACTGTTAACAGATGCAAACACTGAAGACCTGCCTAGGCAGGGGAAATTTACTGACCAGTTCTGAAATTATATGAAACCAATTTAAGTTGGCTTGACCAGTGTTTAGGGAACTTGTTTCAATACACTCAGGTCAGGGAGCTGCTTCATTTGAAAACATGTTAATCCACCTTAAACCAGGTCAACTTGGCTTGAGCAGGTCTTAAAATCAGAATAGATTGAACTGATTGTCAAACTGGTAAAAAAATGTGGCATATACAGGTTCCATGCAACAGTTTATGGCTAACTGTTGTGCTGCTTGCCTAGACAAAAGGTTCTGGAAATTTGTATGGTTAGGTTTGATTTTACTGTTACTTATGGAGGCTAAATAAGGGTCCAAACTTAACGTGGATGTTTTTTCACCTTTTAGTTTGTGACGTTCTTCCTCTAATAATTAACAACCCTGATGTTCGGCTTCCTGCCAGTTTGTTGTACAAATATCTGAACAAAGCAGCAGAATTTTACATTAATTATGTGACTAGATCTACTCAAACTGAAAATCAGTACCAAGGTAAGAACACTTTTTTTTTTTTTGTTGTCAGATGACATTGAAATCTGTTGTGGAGAAGATGAACAGTAAAGAGACCAGTGTAAATGAACAGGTGACATTTTATGACATTTCATATCATATATACCCACAGAGTTCAGCAGTAGAGATGTGGTTAGCCATTAGTCTGAAAGCAGGCAGAAGGTAGAACAGGGTAGCACCTTAGAGCAGTAGTATTCATTGGGGGATACCATGGCACAGTGGGCTGCCACAAGATCCTTTTGAGGGTGACATACAGTGCAAGGAGAAAAGCATTTGCACTTCTCTGCCGATCTCTGTGCAAAGAGGTAAGTTCAGGCTTGGCTTTGGGTAAGTTAATGCTTGTCCCTGCTGGCTCATGTGAGAAGCTAAGTCCTTGCTCCTTTCCTTCCTCTGTGTGAGGAGCTAAGTAGTAAATACATTTGTTATTGAAAGTTGGTGCCGTTCAGTTTATAGACATTATGGAAGGGTGCTGGGAGCCTTAAAAATTTGAAAACCACAGCCTTATGCCTCACTGAGCCAGTTTGTAGCAACAACCTACTTCATCAGATGCTGAGTCAGAGTAGGTAGGTAGTAGTAGAGTAGTAGTACTACTTTATCAGAGTGAGAGTGAGAAGATCACTGTTTAATGGTGGACATTTGTTTGCTTTAAGGCATGAACAGCCAAGAGCAGCTTATACTTTCCCATTACCTTGGGCAGGCTCTCCCAGGGCTTTAGGGGCCTGATCCTATGCACCCAGGGAATTCTCTTGTAGGATTGGGCTCCTCATGCCTCTGGGAGCACCTGCCCAGCTTTTTTCTGCTTACAGATATGTGCCAGTTCAACACTCTGGAACAGTCCCTAGATGAGGGATGAGGAAGAACTTATCCCTTTCTTAAACACAAGATAAATGTAAAAGATACTGTCACAAATTATGTTGAATATGACCAATTATGCTTTATCAGATAACGAATTAACTAGAATGGTTTGTGTAAATCAGTAGGGTTGGTAATAATGGATTGTGCTGACTGGTAAGACCTACAGTGACAACCCTGATTTATTAACCAGACTTCACTGTACTTCCCCCTCTCCTCTGACCACACAGGTTCACAAGATTCCTCTGATCTCATGTCTCCAAGCAAGCGTAACTCTCAGAAGTATGTAATAGAGGGTCTGACTGAGAAATCATCTCAGATTACGGACCCATGGGAGAGGCTGTTTAAGATACTATCTATTGTGGGAATGAGGTGTGAATGGCAGATGGAGAAAGGGAGAAGGTGAGAAATTGATCCCTTATCATAGTTGGCTGTCTGAATTACTGACCCTCAAAGAGTTTGTCTTTTCAATATTTCAGTAAAAATGAACTATAAAATATGATGAATTTTAAGGCATTTTATATTATCTCAGTTCAGTATTTTTTTGGAAGCATCCAGTAAAAAGCTGGGGCATAGGCTCTGTGGACCTTTAAACTCTGCTTAGAAACATATTGGCTCAGGAGCTTGTTTTATGATTACAAAACTCCTCTTTGATAACAAAAGACATGGATGGCTCCTACTGAATTTCTTCTAGAATCTGCTTCATGCATGAGCACTGAATTGCAAGCGCAGATTAAAAACACTAATTCAACACTATTTAAGTACAGTACAGAACAGAGTTGCTCTCCTAGATACATCAGTTTCCTTGCCGATTATATTGTGTTTTTTTTCTAGGGCAGCATCTGTTTGTTTTTTTTTTCCCCTTCCCAATGTCGTGGCTATTACCAAATTTGAAATGCATAGTTTTGTATGCTTTTCTTTGGTTTAGAAGTCTTTGTAATACCTTGTAATTTTTTTTTTTTTTTT